TTTTACTTCACTACATTTATTTGAGTAGTTGCTATTCAAATTAATAACACAAAATAATGACAAATAAATTATCAATACGACTTTAATGATTATATAAAGTCACATATATATTCAATATTTAGGAATACATTTAAATTGCAACACATTAATTAATCAATAATCATAATCTTATAATATAATCTACATTATTCTGCTCTTCAGATAATTGAGTACTTTTACTTTTGGTACTTATGCATTTCATTGATAGTACTTTTGAATTATCTGAGTACTTCTTCCACCACTGAAAATAATACCAAACTTTTCATAGCTTTCATAGACATGTAAATTCCTAACAATTTCCTTCAAAGTTTCCTGGATAGAAATATGTAATTTGGTGCTAAATTATAAGGGAAAAAGAGACCTAATGGTTATTTTCACAGTTAATTGGCCAGTTATTTGGTCTATATAATGTCAGAAAATAGTTTCAAAGGCCATGAAGTGCAAGGTGAAGTCTTTAAATTATTGGTCACAGTTAGAAACCCCAAAACATTCTGTTTAAAATCACATCAGATAAAGAAAAGCAGCAAATCCTCACAATTGTGAGGATAGAACTAGAAACACCTGTCATTTCTACATGAAAAAAAGTTAATAAATCACCAAAATAGTTGCAAATGAATCGTCTGAACATTGAAGCTCTAGCACTCAGTTGGTCTTCCAATTAATTAATTCCCACCACAACAGCAGGTCAGCTCGAAAGAAATCTGTCACAACTCAACAAATGGAGTATTACTATTCAGAATAATAAATAATATGATAATAGATGATGAATATTTACTTGCATTCATTATTAAGAAATTACATCTTTACAGGAAACTTCCAAACAAATAATTTGGAAATTGTGGAAGCATAAAATAAAGCTTTAAAACAATTTGTATTCACATTTAACCAACTGAGGCTGGTGATCTTAACTCACCATACAGCTTCTTGTTACTATGAATATTAAGTTTTTTTCCACCGTAGTTGCCAAGTGACGATGGCTGTGCAGCAGTACATTAAATATAGTAAAGTAACAAGACACTGAAAAGAAAGGCAGAAAAATACAGACACTTTTTTTCAGATGACGTGCAGAAGATGGACATCATTCTGACACAGATGCAGTTCCCCTTTATAAGTTAATTAATGGTCTGAAATGTACACGATTTGGAGAACATTATTTCATAACACAGTGAGGTCAGACGGATGAGAGATGACTGTAATGTGAGTTTACCTCTGATGCCCACACACTGTGGTGGGAGCAACACAGCAACTTCATCAGGTGGAAAAAAATCATTTGATTTATTGTTGGATGCTCATGAGATCAGCTGCAGCTAAAATAACTGACTTTCCTCCATCTCTGGTGTCAGATCAGTGTTTCATATTCAATGAAATGTTATTTACATAGCGCCAAATCATAACAGAAGTTGTTATGGAGATGGAGTCCGTAATGTTTAATGGAGCAAATAAATAATAATAACTTCAGCTTGTCTGATATGTATCATAATTTAATCTTATCTGTATGTCAATTATAAAAAATGCTATGTTATTAGGCAGGCTACACCTAAATATGACACCTCTGTATGCATAACAATTGATAACTTGATAACTGCATTTAATGCAATGCGAAGCCACAAATTCAACATTTAGGAAGATTACACTGCTCAGTTGTTGTCAAAGAGATATTTTTTTTAACTGTATGTTTATTAATGAGGCTGTAATTGTGTATATGTTAAAATGTGTTTTTAATATTCTTCCCACCTCATGTTCATACTCAGGTTGGGCAAAAAAAAAATAAGAAACTACCTCCTGATATAATGTAATCCAGTTCAACATCACTGTTAATTACAACCTCGATGAAGGAAATGCAACATTATAATAACTGAAAAACTGATTATGAATTGTAATATTTTGTGGTATTTTTTGTTAATAAAATCAATATATGAATTTAAAGGAATATACCTATACACCCTCGTCCTGTTAGCATCAAAACTGAGCTTTACCCTGAGATTACCCTGTCAAAACAGACTTATCTCTAGAAATGTGCAAAATACCAGACTGTTAGCTCGTTAGTTTTAAGCCATGATACCTTACAGCTTTCTTTAACCTAACATTTTTTAGGCTTATACTGATCTAGCTAACAATCATCTGCACAATTAAGTAACAGTTATAAAGGTAAATGATGCTATTTTCTAAATATGTTAAAAGCTCGTCATGTACCTAACGTTAACTATGTTGTAGGTTATCAAACTGTCAGTAAAGTTGCTGCACACCAGCTCCAGGCTCACAACATCACAACAACAGCATAGTGGCAAACTAGAAAGTGTAACCCCAATGTTTGTGTGGTTTGATCCACTTTGTTTACCATTTACAGAGCCAGGGCTGTGTACAAACACAGAGTGTGAAAGCTAGAGGACCGTGAACTGAATCTGATAAATGTGTCACAAAATCACATAACTAGAACCGCTTATCCCACTTTTAATTAAATTATAGTTTACTTACCACAAATATCATCAGCCTCACAAGCTACTGTGTAAATTAGCTTAGCAGTAACTTGAAAGAGCTCCCAGTTTCTTCTCTATAGCTTTGAAGCTAACTGATGTTGGTTGCTGCACAACTATAAAATACAGATGGACCATCTACGTTTATCTTTTACGACGGAGTATTAGGGCCAGACTAAGAAAAAAAAATATTTTATTTTTTTGGAAATTACGAGAATAAAGTCATAATATTACGAGAATAAAGTAGTAATATTACAAGAATAAAGTCATAATGTTACGAGAATAATGTCATAACACAATAAAAAAAAGTTGTTTTAATGACAAAAAAGCTTTGATAGAGTTATCAAGATCTGACATGACCAGCTCAACCAATCAGCAGCCTCAGGTTTCTTTTATCTTTCTTTTTTAAAAGATTAAACCCGTTCCTGGAGAGCCGATAATACTTAGATACTTTTACTTAAGTGTATATTTGAATGCATAACTTCTACTTGTAACGTTATCCTAATTTCAACCATGTGGCAGTATCACATTTGCTTTACTTCATAATAAAGCAACAATTTGATTAGCTTGATGAGATTATCAGGTGTTAGGTGAGACAAAACGTGATACTGACACAGTATCCTCTAGTCAGAAGTGGGTAAAAATACATTTATTATAGCACATAAATAGTTTTTTCAGGTATTTTTCTGACAACTTTTTACTTTTAGCTTCTACATTTGAACATACACATTTGCACTTTCTCATGCATGACAGACGTAACATGAGGAAAATGCAGAAAGACAAGTGAGGGAGACTGAAGTTTCAGCTTTGCACTGAAACATCTGGTAGAAATGTCCTTCAGAGAAACCAAGAGAATACTTTTACTTAAGTGTGGTTTTGAATCCATAACTTTTACTTGTAACGTATTTTTAAAGTGTTGTATTAGTACTTTTACATAGGTTAAGTAAAGGATCTGACTATCCACCTGTACATGAGTATATGTCTACAGAATAGAAACAATGAGAAAACAACTTGTTTTTACAACAACGTGATGAAATCAGAAAATCTCCTGCATTACATTTAAATGTTCCAGTTCCAATTTTCCTGGTATTGTGGATGCTGCCTCATTGTCATGACTTATTAATAAACTTAAATAGACAATAATCACCATCTGTGTTATTAGATCCACCTCTGCTACGACAGGTGAAAATGTCTGCAGTGAAACTTATTATTTCAAATCTCAGAAGAGCATCCAGGGTATAAACACAGCGATTAATGACCATGTGTCAGTGTGACAATCAATTAAAATACTTTATAGTGTTTATAGTGCTCGCTGCACTGCAGTTTAATTAGGGTCTTGTCTCGTTTTGTTTGGCTTAAAGCAAGAAAGTTTGTGTTACATTACAGGAAGAAGAAAGAAAAAGAAGACAAAACAAACACAAGGAGAATTACGTATAAAACCCACAAAATAACAGTTAAAAAATCAAACAAAAGTGGTTTCACAATGCTTTTTTTAATGATTATACACTAATTTGGTTTCTGAGACTTTAAATTAACCATTTTAGTTCACACGTCTTCCCTTTTCTCCTTCCTAAAGCTAAGTCAAGGAAGGAAAAAGCTTTTTTTCCTTGTGGATTACTGTCGGCTACATGTCAACTCCACACTTAATTAAAAAGGTAAATGAAGAAGTACACTTTTTGTTTTAAAATGTAGCGCTCAGGTGCAAGAACTTCAAACTCATAATGACACAAATTGTGGTTCACGCAGGAAACATTTTAATGTGCAACGTCACGTTTCTTCAGCGTACTTAATGTCAAACCCAGAGAACACACAGGTGGCGGCGATACACGAGCACCGAACTGATTATTCAACGAGATGCATCTGGTGCAATTAACAACAGCAACAATAAGATCTCAGCTCTGCAATTCACAATTTATGAATCTTTTCCCACATAAGTACAACTCAAGAGTTTCGTGGCTTTGTGTGGCTTTTTAGTTGTCAGATTGTCATTTGAAAACCAGCTGGCGGTTGATTAATCGTCTTTCCGTTGTTCAAGTGTTGTGCATGAACTGTTTAATTTATCTGCAGACACAAATCACGACTCTTGTGTATCGTTGCAGACTATGGGTCAGCAGCGTGTACCTCAGTATCTCTCTGCCTGTGAACTCTCATTTATATTCAAATTAATTCCTT